TCTGCATATCTTAAAACTAAATAACACTATTCAAACACCTTTGATTTCTGCACAGCATGTCAGTTTGGTAAGCTTCACCAGTCTGTTTTTCCTAGAACTAGTTCAAGAGCCTCTCAACCCTTAGAACTGATTCACTCAGACCTTGGGGGACCATCCCCTGAAGGTTTTTGATATTACATTCAGTTCCTAGATGACTACAGCAGATTCACTTTGATTTTCCCTCTAAAAAACAAATCTGAAACACAAAACATCTTCAAACAGTTTCATACCTTAGCAGAAAATCAATTCAACACTACCTTAAAATGTGTTCAAACAGATTGAGCAAGTGAATATAGGAGTTCAATTCCCTATTTTCTTGATCATGGAATTATCTTTAGACATCCATATCCCTATACTCACTAACAAAATAGAAAAGTTGAAAGAAAACATAGGCAAATAGTAGAACAAGGTCTAACTCTCCTTACTTAGGCTAGCATGCCTTTAAAATATTGGTGGCTCTCTTTCCAAACTACTGCTTACCTGCTTACCTTACAAATAGGTTGCCCACACCTGTACTAGTTGGTCTTTCTCCATTTCAGGTCTTGTTTAAACGAATTCCAGACTACAAGTACATTAAAATCTTTGGCTGTGCAGTCTACCCTTACCTTAGGCCTCATAACTCTCACAAATTCAATTTTCATACTAACGCATGCACTTTTGTTGGATATAGTATGCATCACAAATGATACAAATGTATGAATTCTAAAGATAAGATTTATATATGTCAAAGTGCTAAATTTGATGAAAATAACTTCCCTTTTGCCTCTACTAATACTACTGTGTCTAATTCCAAAACCAATTGCCTTCCACAGCCACTACCTTGTGGTTACAGCTCCTTTAGGGTCATCTCTTCTTTGCCTCATAACTATGCTCCTCCTGACAAATCCACATTATCATCTTCTGTACCTATGTCCCCTTCTTCACCAGTTCTATCCACAATTGGTCAGCAAAGGTCAACTGTAGCTCAATTATCACAATTCCCCTTATATTCCACTCCCTTATCTCCATCTGCAGATCCTTCAATCCTACACATTTTCCAAACACACTAGCAGCTGAACCTTTAGTTGAGTCTTCCTCACATTCCCCTAGCACATTAGCAGCTGAAACTTTAGTGGAGTCTTCTCCACATTCTCCTAAAACACTAGCAGCTGATCTTTTAGTCCAGCCTCTCACACATTCTCCAAATACATCATCAGCAGTGCCATCATCTCAGTAACCTTTAGTTCCCAATATCTCCTCTTTACAAGCAGATTGCACCTCTAGTTCTCCTGAATCCATTCACCTTGTTGTGGACCTACCATTTGATGATCACCAGTCCACTCACACCAACGTTGACAACCTTGCTAATCTTGTTCATATTCCAGATGTTTTGTCCAATAGTTCACATTCCTTAAACATTCACCCCATGATTACTCGATCAAAAGCCAAACTCCCTATCTCCATGTTAGTCTCCTCTACCTCTCATCTAGATAAAAGTGAGCCAAAGAGTGTAGCTGAAGCTCTATCTCATCCATCCTAGAAAGCTGCCATGGACAGTGAGTTTAATGCATTAATGTCTAATCACACTTGGGAACTTGTTCCAGCTGAACCTAAGTGGGTTTTTAGAGTGAAACATAACTCTGATGGCTCCATTCAATGATTCAAAGCAAGACTTGTTGCTAAAGGCTTTCAACAAACCTCCGGTGTGGATTGTCTTGAAACATTTAATCCTGATATCAAGTCCTTTACCATTCAAGTTGTTTTTAGCTTGGCTATCACATATGGTTGGGATATCCAGCAAGTTCATGTCAATAACGCTTTCTTAAATGGAGGGCTTAGTGAGACAGTTTTCATGACTCAACCACAAGGTTTTGTGGATGCCAAAAATCCTCTTCATGTGTGCAAATTTGTAAAGGCACTTTATGGACTCAAGCAGGCTCCTCGAGCTTGGTTTGAGAAGCTCAAAAATGCTTTTCTGAAATGGGGATTTACTTGCTCAGTAGCTGATCCCAGTCTGTTTATTTACAGACACAACAATCAGGTTATGTATGTAGTAGTATATGTTGACAATATACTCTTGACAGGCAGTGAAGATAAATTGGTTCAAAATGTTGTGTATAAGTTGAATATTGAATTTTCCTAAAAAACCCTGGGTTCTCTTAAGTATTTTTTGGGTTTTGAGGTACAAAAAACAGCTTCAAAAATTCATATGAGTCAAGACAAATATGCAAGAGACTTGCTAGTTAAAACTAGAATGATAGACTCGAAACCATGCTCCACTCCAATGGTTTTAGGGAACGAGTTGACCTTTGTGGATAGTGAGTTGTTTGACAAACCATCTCTGTATCAAAGTACAATAGGTGCCCTGCAATATCTAACCTTGTCAAGGCCTGATATTGCATTCTCTGTCAACAAGTTAAGCCAATTCCTCAAAGCTCCCTCTCAACTTCATTGGCAAGCATGTAAGAGACTCCTTCGATATTTTGAAGGCACCTCAAACTTTGGAGTTAAGTTCATTAAATTTCACAGGTTTCACCTTGAATGCTTCACTGATGCTGACTAGGCAAGAAGCATTCAGGATAGACGCTCAACTAGTGGCTCCTGTTTATTTCTTGGTTCCAACTTGCTGCAATGGAGTTATAGAAAACAAAAGGTAGTGGCCTTATCTTCCACTGAAGCCGAGTATAGAGCTCTTGCTCAGGGTGCCACAGAAATAGCCTGGTTTCACAGTTTATTCACTAAAATTGGTTTACATCTTCCTGAAATCCATGTTATTTGGTGCGATAATCAGAGTGCTGGTTCCCTTGCATCTAATCTAGTCTTCCATGCTCGAACGAAGCATATTGAGTTGGATGCACACTACATTCGGGAACAAGTTGCAGTCAACAATTTAAAAGTCTACTATGTTCCTATAGAACACCAAACAGCAGATATCTTTACCAAGTCTCTATCCACTTCGAGGTTTGAAGTTCTCAAGTCCGAACTTACAGTTGTTCCTTCTCCAGTACAAGAAGTCTCTTCTTCTACTAAAGTTACTTCCTCTGTACAAGCTTGACAGTTTGCTCAAATGACTCTGCTCAGGATCTGAGTGAAGATTAATTCTGCATTGAAGTTCCTCTTGCGGGTTAGATAATGCTGGTTGTTGATCAGTTTCTTGTTGATGTGAATTGTGTGGTTAAATGCTACTGGTAGTGTTGCAGTTTCTTGTTAATGTGAATTGTGTGGTTTAATGTTGCTGGTAGTGTTGCAGTTTCCTGTTAATGTGAATTGTGTGGTTTAATGCTGCTGGTGAAGTTGATCAATTCTTTGTCCTTGATTGAGGTTGAGTGGTAGTATTGATCAGCTCTCATTATATGGTCAAATGCTGGTTGATCAGTTATGTTGGAAGATCAGTTAATCAGTCTTAAAAAGGGACATTCAGTTGGTTGGTATCCAGTGATTAGTCTGCAGGATAAAGGTTTACTTGGTATATATGGTTTAAGACTACACGATGAAGCTGCAAAGTGCATTACAAAGTACACTACAAAGAGATATGATGCAATTTTAAGTTTTTGTTGCATCTGGTTGAAGACTACAGCAAGGGCATTACAGAGAGATGAAGTTGCAAGTGCAAATGATGTCAAAACCTAACCTAGCTCCATTTAAGGGAGGATGTTAGTAAAAGAATTGAGTCAAAGTGATTTAGTTTAAGAAAGGATGCTAGTGAAGTGTTAAGTGTTAGTAAAAGAGTTGAGTCAAGGTGGTTTAGTTTAAGGGAGGATGTTAGTAAAGTGTTAAGCTGATTAGTTAGAAGGTCAACATTATTGACCTGGTTAATCAAGTGTTCTGTTAAATCTGTTACTTCTGTTTAGCAGCTCCGTTTAGCTCTAACAGTTTGTTACATTTCTGTTATTTTTCTGAAGTGCTCATCAATATAAATGAGCTACTACTGTACGCTACTCTTTGAGCTGAATATACAGAAATTTTCCAGATTCTTCCTTCTTCGTTTTCCCCTATTTTAGCTTGATAGCTCAAAAGTTGGGAGCGAGTTTTAGTCTAAAACAGATATATTAGAATAACTGCTGTTTCTGATAACTGGTGTTATGTCAGCTATCCTTTTTGGTGCTTCTAGCTTTGGACAGTGTTAATACTTGTATAGGTCTCTGTTCTCTTGGGTTAGTCATTAATTTGCCAAATACTTGTTCATTTTGTTGAAAATCACCAAGCCTTTTTATCGAAGCGTAAATAGACAAACATATAAACCAGGGGACAAAATCCTAATGTGTGTGTGTGTATATACAAATAAATAACATGGGTACTAGTCAATACCCAGTAAGAAAACACATAATCAAAAGCAGAAGTTAAAAAAGGGACTCAGACAAGGCTCTCACAAGGCTAAGAATGTCACTACGGCCAAGTCTATTTTTTCTAATATGGGCCTCAGTGGACTATAGTGTCTGGCAATAACATCTGTTCAAACTCCCAAAAAACAAATATTCATTTTCTTTTTATATTTCACATAAAAGCTAATCAGTTAAATCAATTGTGGAATTTCAATTTTAAGAAAGTATCACTTGGTAACTTGCCTACGAAGTACTTGTAAAACAGTGCAAGCAACAATGTTTGCACCAAAATTACCTGTGAAACCATATGATTATTCTCCCAACAACATGTGCAAATGAATTATAATTGCCAATCAAAATGCTCATTAAAGGTACAAGAATTTTAGAGAGACTAGATGTATGTCATCAAGGAGATCTAAGTGCTCACAAGTACAATAAAATGTGCAAATGAATTATAATTGCCAATCAAAAAGCTCATAAAAGGTACAAGAATTTTAGAGAGACTAGATATATGTCATCAAGGAGATCTAAGTGCTCACAAGTACAATAACATGTGGAAATGAATTATAATTGCCAATCAAAAAGCTCATAAAAGGTACAAGAATTTTAGAGAGACTAGATATATGTCATCAAGGAAAATTACATCCAGAGTAAACTTACTGACATGTCTGGAAGGGACTTAAAAGCAAGGGCCAGGACACGAGACCCCTGACATGTATATTTCTCGTAGGTTTCAATATACGAAGGTGGCAAATCTGTGAGTCTACCCTGGATAGTTTCAGGAACACCCTGTAATGAGATAAAAGAATTACTTAATGAAGACAAGTTGATGAATCCCTACCCTGAGCTGTATTATAATGTAATTTCTCAAAAGCAAAAATACAATTGGCAAAGCAACAGAACATATAGATACGCACAGCAATGAATACATTTATACAAGAGAAAAAGGAGACCAGTATTTCACCAATTGAGTGTTCACTGATCTCCATATTTTTACAAGTTGAGATGGTGTATCAGTCAAAAGAAAACAAAAAGAGAGAGGGAGAGGGAGAGATCATTCAGTGTCTAAACATGGCAGGATTATCAGTCAAAGAAACACTTCAACATAGTAGACGGCTTTGCTCATATTTAAATTATGAGAATTCTTCCAATTCATGTCTCTCTTAAATAATCATATCATCTTCCAAAAGCAATGTAACAAGTTTGATTTTATAAAATTCAAGGACGACCTAGAGATTCATTGGGGTATCATTTGATGAACGTTTTAGAAACTTGCAATAAACTAATTGGACTCAATAGGAACTTTTCAACACCAGCTCCTCTGTTAACTCTCATCTTTTTCTTCATGCAATAGTTCTTAATCATACATTTCCAAAGTGTTTATTACCCGCTAAAATTTATATTTGAGTTTTATATACAACTTCACTGCTAATATCAATTTCTATCAGTGTTTCTAGTAAATTACCCACTATGACTTGTGAGATTCATAACAATTTCCTCACACAATTTTGAAATCTTTGACTGCATTGCCTATGTTGTTAATTGCATAACAAAAGAACTACAATTTTAAGAGAGAGAGAGACACATGTTCAAACGATTCTTATAGTCAAAATAAGTTTACTACTATCCTAATTATAAGAGAGAGAGAGAGAGAGATGTTCAAACGATTATTATAGTGAAAATAACTTTACTACTATCCTAATTACACAATCTAACATCTATATAGATAGCGTATCATTAACATTCTGTAGTAGAAAAAGATTGTTGAACTTGTATTGGGCTTTCATGATGCAATAGGCAACTTAGAGACCTTCACGAAAGCGAAAAACTCCTCCTGAATGCGAACAACAACTGCCATTCATTTTAAGCGGGATGCAAAATGGTGTCTGTGAACAATCTGGACAGTATGACTGACTCCCCTGCAATTGAGAAAAAGGCAACCAAAATGACTACATAGTAACCATAAACTAATAAGAGGAAAAAGAAAATGCCGTTAAAGAAAAACAATAAACAACGAAAATATAAAAACCAAAAGAAGCATTAATAACAATATAACTGTTAAACAAATTTGAACTCTGATGCATCTGTCCAGATTAATTTCGTGGAACTGATAGTGGACTGATATTTGTTCCAAGCTAATTTTAGAGTCAAGCTGGGAAGCTCAAAGTTGTCGTATAAACCTTGCTAATTGAAAATCATTAAGTCTTCAGGGGAGAGAACAAAGCTTTAAGGCTGTGGAATTGTGCAGTGATGGCTAGTTTTTGGTGGTTTGGTTAGAAATGAACAAGGAGAATCTCTGCCATCACTTGGAAGAATAGCTATCCTCTTTAAGAGACAAACTTCAATTTTGGGCTTCAACTTTGAGCGAGTGTGACTTCCAATTTTTGGGGAATTCCTCTTTTGGCGGATAAAGCATTTTTGCTGATCACTTCCAAGTTGGTGAAGTTCAAAATGGTAGGCTTTGAAAATGGAAGAAAAACTATACTCTTTTAAGAGATAGTTCAAAAAAGTTAACAAAATTAATCAGAAAACTATAAATCCAACGAGTTTTATACACAAATGTCTATGTGCGATGAACCTCTTCCCACAAAAAAAGTTTTTTGTGGTAGGATTTCTCAAAGAAAAAAAGTTTAAACCACAGATACTTCTAAACCATAAACAAACTAGTACAAAGTTCAGAATATTATTAAAACCAATTAAGCAATTCAGGCTACTAATATCTCTATCCCATGAACACTTGAACTTACTTTTTTGGCAAGGCCTTCTCATCTGATTTATAACTCCAATCAATACCTTTAAGCACAGCCTTCTCCAGAGGATCACCAACCTACAAGCAATCAAAGAATATGACGGAATGAATGGCAGCTAAAGCAACAAATTTTAGACCGATTAACACAATAATCAGCAAGAATCCAGCAGCATAAAGCGAATTTCAACAGAATTGTAATACAGTCATGGGAGCTCAAATACAAAATACCATAAAATCATTACACTTCACAAAGCAGCAAGGATAATAATTAGTATATGTGCAAAGACTAATAGAAGAAAAGTAGAAACTAACATTTAAAATTCTTTTCTTGTACTGTAAAATTTCATTATCAATTTTCACCAGGCATCCGTATAAATTCATTAAGAATCAAGAGTGAACTTTTTCAGGGAGAAAAACCTCGGACATATAGTATGTAGTAGTACAAGGAGAGGCAGAAGAAGAAAAGATAACAATGTGATAGAACACCCTTCTAATATTCAATAAAACAATGAAACAGTAGCAACACAGCAGCAAAGGAGCAAGAAAAGTTGATGGATTTCTCTATTAATATTCAGCAAAAACATTATCAAAATATTGAGCTAACACAGCAGCCAAAGAAAAATAAGATTCAGAACAAGAAAATTGTGCTAGACTTCGAGGGCTAGCTCCTCCTATAATCCTCCTATATTTTTCCTCTCCCTTTTCCAGTCTGCTCTCTCTCTCTTTTTATTCTCCAGCTCTCAATTGTGTAACCGAATTCCCCTGCTGCCCAGCCAAATATCGCCACCTGTCCAAGCCTAAAACCATTCTAAAAATACTACTACTATTAGAAACTTCCTGTAAGCTTCCTTTCTATCTACTACTTGCTACCTTATTTCTCCTTTCATACACCCACATCATCCTGGCCTCATCACAATGTGGGTTGTACTTGGCAAAACCGAATAATTCTTTAACATGGTACTATGCAAGCCTGCAGGTGAAGAGAATTGAATATCCACTGTTTCATTATTCTTGTTTCTTATCATCTATAGGAAAGTGCATCCAATTCATAAATAAGACTTTGACAACAGTCTAGAATTCAAGTCGATCTTTCTCTCCAGAACAGCACAAACTGCAGATGCCTCATCTGCTACAAATTCCCCTCATTTTCTTTCTAATAAAAATTCTCAAAAAGGACAGATCCTCAAAGTTGATTGCAGAAACAGTCACAAGATTGTTCCATCCAAGAAAATTAATTAGGCACTTATACCAATTTATACTATATCTACAACCCTGTACAATTTATACTATATGCATGTACAAATATACAGCAAAGAATAACTGACGGCTAAAACTTCTCTTGCTTCTAAATAAAAAATAAAAAATAAAAAAAAAAATATTAGTATACCAGCTTGTTGTCAACAAACACCAATGCATGACAAGAAGCCAGAATCTCCAGTGTGCGGGCAGGAACTTTAGTCATATCAGCTTCCAACTCAGTATTGCCAGGCAATCCAACCCCAGAGAACTCCTGGAAAGAGCGTAAAAAAAAAAAATCATAATGAGAAAACAAGTTTTAACACATAAATGAGCATAAATTACAGGTCTTGATATGCATACCATGTCATCTGATGTAAGTGTTCCAGTTTTATCAAAACAACATATGTCAACCTGTGAAGGGAAAAACAACAGACAGTAAAGAACTAAATTAGCATATAGATACACTCCTGCACAAAAAGTATTGTCATTGTAAACTGAGATATGGACTACAACTTAACCAAAAAACCAAAAAGAAAAGGTCTACGACTAAAAAGATGTTGTACAAGGACTGCAGGCATATGTGCTTGACAAAGGGCTATGGCAGTGATTGAATAACATCATCTGAAATGTTCAACTTAGATGACAAAAGAGTTAAAAACCTACGGTACGTAGTTTCACATAATCTGTAAAGTCGGTATCTACAAGTACTTGGGGAATTTTCATTTAAATCTGCATTTGTAAAATATTTCCAACAATGTTATTCAGTAATCATTTTGAATTATTATTCTATCTACCGGCTATGAAGCAATTCTAAGAGCTAAGACAAACAGTTTATAGTCTTTTTCTATTTTACAAATCAGTTGCAAATCTTGAAATATGCAAAAGATAATAGCAGAAATTCTAAAAGGACCCATCAATAACAACTGACAGGAAGACGATATAGCCATCAAATGTAGATTATCAGAAAATCAGCAGTTGTCCAAGCAGCATTAGTAAAAAGACTTGAAATCGAAAAGAAACATTCTTCAACGCAAAAAATAAAAGCTTTCTTGAACCTAATCCAACTAACCTTTTCAGTAAATGGAATTCGAAAAGGTTCCGTGCAAAATATTCCACGACGTGCCAGTGCAATCAGTGATGTATTAACAGCTATTGATAATTCCACAGGTAGCTCAGGAGGGATTACAGAAGTAATATTAAGCGAACAGTTTAGGAAAACCTTATACTTGCTCCTAGTGGGATCCTCTAGCCCCTACATCACAATGGTCTTCATCATCATAACAACACTAAACAAAGCATAATTTTCCATAATAACCTCAAGAAAAGCATTTACTCACCTTTACAAGAACGTAACACTTTCCCAGCTGTTAGCAGTAACCTACAACTAGAGTCTAGAGGTGGAGCCAATGGACGGGTTAGACGGATCAATCCTGACCTGGCTCGCATCAAACTGGGTTCAATTTGAACCATGTAAGAGATGGGCCGGTTCAACCTGGTCCGTGTATATCTCGTTGGGCAGGTCAGATCTTCATAGACCAACCCGACAGTCCGGCGGGTTATATATTTTTTTTTTTAAAAAATCATCCGACGCGTTGGACAAAAAAAATTAATTAATTTTTTTTTCAAATACCCTTTTCATCTTTGAAATATAGTCATTTTATAACAATTAGAGTAGCCTTTTTGGTCATTTTCTTTTCCCATTTTTTTCTATAAATAGGNGGGAATGAGAACTAGAATGCAACTATAATAACAAATAAGAATTCAGAAAGGGGAAAAAACTAAAAAGATCCAATAAAAGGAAGCAAGAAGAACTAGCATCTGAAATCATCATTATTGAAAGATTTAAAATATTAGCATATTGATTCTAAGCAACCAATAATGGGTAAAAATATAAAATCAATCACGAGCAGTAATTTTTTTTTTTTTTTCTCTTTTTTCCCTTTTCAATGGACTTTTAGAAGAAATTGGCATCTGAATATGTTTCAATCTTATTAGTTGAATACAACTTTACTGACTCTCACTAAACCTATTAGTGCTAGATAGCAAATGTTGCTTTATTGACTCTCGCTAAACCTATTAGTGCTAGATAGAAAATATTGTTTTATTGACTCTCACTAAACTATCACAGCTAGATAGAAATCAAAGAGTAGCAACACTAGCGGTTATTTTTTTTTTTTTTTTCCTCCATTAACCAACTACATAATGTTTTTGATTAAGCCAAGCACAAAAATACTTTTCTATATAAGAATCAGAATCAATAATAACAATTTAGATAATTACTTTAGCAGCAAATATAGGTTAGTCTTCTTGACTTATTTATGTATAGACTCTCCATGATAACTTGTTCACCAATTTATAAGTTTTCTTCTACAAAAAAAGCATAATTAGTCCTAAGACTTTATAAGCAACAGATGCAGTATGATTGTGCAATTTACACTACAGTGTTATTTATTACTTCGTGAAGATAGAATGAAAGAAATAAACATAAATATCATGATAAAACCAACTCAAATATCCAGAAGTTTGCACAAGAATTCTGAAATAAAATTGCGATCTTTCAAACAAGATGAATAACTCAAAAGAGATAGTTCAATCAATTAAATATTAACACCAATTTCAGATCCATTTTAGTAACACTGCAGAGAACGTAACTTCACTACATAGTAATGAGACTTCTAAAGCAACAGATGCACAATAATTGTTCAATATATACAACTATGACCTTATACAGATGGAAGTTCAACTAACATTAATTCATGAAAATGCCCCAGCAGTTTCACAGATGTCACGAGGGTGATTTTAGGCGAACATTATTCTGTCTACATATCATAGAAGTTTTTGTTTCATCACCCTCAGCTATGTTTGCATTACACAAAAGAGTTTGACCCGTGTCATGATAAAACAGCATAACTGTTATCAGAATATTACTATTATGGGATTTAATAAATTTGTTCCATGTATATATTTGAACCTATCTAAAAACAGCAAGCCCACTGGAATACAACAGCTTTCACAAATATCATACTTCAATGCAGAGCAACAAACAATTTCTCAAAAATGGAACCAGTTAAAAAAGAAAATTAAAGACTCCAGTTGTAAACAAATCAAGAAACTAAATGTGTGTGTGTGTGTGTGTGTGTGTATAAACACAACAAGACCAGACACAAAAAGACCATGACTAGTCGAACCCAATAGCCAGGCTAAGTTCCATTAGAGAGAGAGACAGAGAGAGATAGCAGACTTACTACAGCTGCAAAAAAAAAAAAGGTAAGAGTCTTCTATCATATCATCATTCAGATCATGAAGCAAGTAGAACAATCATAAATATTTGACAAAAGGGATAAATGAGTAGAATAAGTTAGCATAGGTAACTCACACATTCCGACCCCATTTTTCCATAGCACCAGTAACCTTAGCTTCAGAGCCATGACCTGTACATTTGAGATAATATCCAAATGTTTCCTTAGTTGGGTAAGGAAGCTTGATAAAGTTTTCCTTTTCCTTAGAAAAAATGAAGTGTTGCTTTCTAAAATCAAAGCAAATTTCCTCCAAGTACACTGAGGTTGAAGAACCTGTCACCTGTGCAAGAAAAATATTATGTTAGCTAGAAAACAAAGGAAAAATAAATACAGTTAAACACACACAACTCTTATGACCAAATTGTCAAACACAAAAACCACCCTTAAAAAAAGAAAATTGGAAATATAGTTGTTTTGAGAGACCCGATCAGATATATCCTTTCAAATAAAATTTTAACTTGATTTATCTTGTTACATTTAGTTTACTAACACATATGCAAACCAAGCAAGACATGATTGTGGAAGAAACAACACAATCATGTCTGAATGCTTACATATGTACTTGCACTTGTGAATTTAAGAAAATAGAATCAAGATCATGTAAAACTGAGCATTTAAACCAGTGTGCATGTGTACTTTTATATGTTTCAGAACAAGCATTTGGGCAATAGTGTGTATACCTCAGTCTAATTTATCCAAAGATTCTGCTACATAGGACAAACAATTCTTTAACTATCATAATTTATTCTGCTCCTGTCTCAGTTAATCACAGTGTCACCAACAGTCTACTTTATCACAAGTTTCAACAACGTAATTTGCTTTGCAACCATAAAGTTTAATTTATTTATTCATTAAACTCAATAAAACTTATAAAAAACAACCATATGGTGTATAATCAATAAGCCATGAATACTCTAATACTTCCAATAAACCTTAAGCGAGACAAACCAAAGCACATATCATAAAACCTAAATAACAAAGATGATATCACATGTATGCAGAATTTTGCAATGGAAACATCAGGTCAACACCTGAATTTTACAATACAAAATCATAACAAGTAAACCTCAGATCATTAATTCTGCAGAGACCACTTAGCAGCAAATTCAAAGAATAAAACTATAATATGGAAGTAAAAGTGAACCATCATGTGACTGTGACTCTTAATAATTTTACAAATTGCAGCATCCATAGCAAAAAGAAAAAGTATAAGGTTATGAAGCATGCTACTTTTCATTATAAACAGTTGGAGAAAAATAAAAGGTCAAAAAAAGAACGAAATGCTTCAATTCATAATTATGATAAAAAATCTCACACTTCCCATTCTAGAAAAACTCCTTACATATAAAAAGTTAGATTTTAAAAGCAACAACAAAAGTGCACTAACTTGTTTACGAAACTGAAGTGGCAAAATTTCTTTTGAACCACAAAACTTTGCTGGAGTTATTTTGCATGCATCAGCAAGGTGGATATCATTAACCTGCACATGAAGAGAAGCAGCTTAAAACAATGCATCAGAGAGAGAGAATTTACAGACAGCTATTTTTATTATTGTTTACGAAGACATAAGCAAAGTACATACCTTACTAAAGTGGGCAAAGCCTCTAAAATCAACAGACCAAGCCGTGAAAAGAAACACAAGAATATGAAAGGCAACAAGTCCACCAAAAACAATGGCAGCATCAACAAAATCTATGCTAGGAACAATAGTAGTCAGCCACACAGCGTAGAGGATAGCAAAAGGCCAAACATCCAATCGCCAAAATCCATGCTTCTTCCTCAACAAGTCAACTTTGTCCACCACCTTCCCTCCTACATGGAAGCTCGACATCTCAATGCCTTCCCTATCTCCCTAAACTTTGCTTTGAAACTTCACTCTGATCCAACAAAATCAAAAGACATATGTATTAAGTATTAACCCATGCAATCTTTAAACAAGAAACAACTCAAAAAGCATTATCCAAACTACATTTATCTCCATTCCTATGCTTTATTCCACTCAAAGAAGTAAAACCAAATTGACATGTACGCTAAGTAAAACCAAATTGACATGTATGCTAATCAGCACATAACCAGTGCAATTTGGTCTTTTCTATACATCAACACAAAATATTTCTCAGCAGTCAATAATGTAAATCTTACAAGATCATGAGCAAACATAAACAACTTTAAGTGAGAGAATTCATAATTGAGATCATTTCAAGCGTGCAAGGCTATACCACAACACAAAACCCAATTAATGCACATAACACTCATTTCCATACCCTAAATCAGGAAATTCTACACAAAAAACGAAAGCAAGCCAAAAAAGCACACCAGAAGTCAAAGAGATCAAAAGGCCGGTTTGATTATCTGCAGAAGCAAGATGAAGCTCTTAAATAATAATTGATCGAATGCAGTGAATCTACATTTAATAAAAGGAAAAGTGAACACAGATATGTCTTTTAGAGCCGAATCTGAAACAGGAAAGACCACCAATACTATTCAGCGTACTTCAGTACAGTCTTGAACAACAACAAAAATATTTGTAATTACTGATTTCATATACTCTAGGTTTTTCCCGCAGTTTCTCACTAACCAAACAAGATTCAATGCCTGAAAATTTTGGAGGAGATATGTTTTCAAGTGTGCCTACTGCAGAAGCAATAATATTAAAGGTTGGGCAGGGAGATTAACAGGGTTGTGGTTTACTGGTTCTGGAAGGAAAATTTCGAATGCGTGACTGGCTGACGCTGGCACGGATCAAACCTCTCATTTTCCTTTTGTTGAAAAAATAGTTCTTTTTTATTAACCTATGAAAGCCAGCAAGGGTGGAGCCGTGGAGGTAGAAGCCGAGTGGGTCAAAAAGGAACTCGGGATCTTGCTCGGTTAATAGGATTCCAAGTGTAGAGAATCTGTCCTCTTTGGAGGCAAAGGTACAAACCTGAAATGATCCAGAGAAACTAGTGAAAGCTAATCCGAATGGTGGAATTGTTGCAAGGAGAGAGTGGTGATGTGAAATTAATATCTTTAAAAGAATTTAAAAAAAAATAAAAACAAAGAAACGGAAAAGCAGAGGATTTTAGTAAGTATTGGCATACGAATAATTTGATTTAAGAATTTGGGGTGTATTTATTTCCAAGTACTGCATTGCACTGCATCGTATTAGGGGTCTGAACACTGCTGCTACAGTAATTTTTTAAAACCATCTCAATATTTTCATACCAAATCAATTAAAACCTACAAATTTACATTAATTTCATATTTACATTCCATATGAAAATATGGATATTCAAACACACCCCAAATTAATGTAGATTTAATGTTAATTTACATTAATATAAAATCTACATTATTGTAAATATGATATTAATGTAGATATGAAATTAATCTATATTAATGTAGATTTGTAAATATGAAATTAATCTATATTAATGTAGATTTGTAAATATGAAATTAATGTAGGTTTTAATATTTTCATAGCAAAAAGCATTCATATTTACATTCCAGAAATTTTCATACCAAAAAGCCTCCATATTAACCAGCTCAATAGTTTCATACCAAATCAATTAAAACCTTCTAAACATATCCAATCCATTCAGCAACTAAACATTAGGGGCAGTTTTTTATTGTTTACCAACAACTAATTACATGCATATTAATCGTTTAAAATAGTGGGGGGCAATAGCTCTACATAAATTTCTGGGAGGTCCAGGGGCAATTCTTTATAAATCTCTCTAAGGCCCATCACAAAATCTCAAAAGTTTCAGGCGTATTTAGTAAAACCGTCCAATAAAATTAACCAATTAACAATATATGCGATTTATTAATGAATATACAGATAAAATTATCTCACAACTCACATTATATGGCAGAACTTTTCCATGATTAAAATTAGCACAGATATTATAGGCCCTCGAACTTTGAAAACGAAGGAAGAATTTAACAAAAAGATAAATGTGAGATGGAATCAATAGACAAGCGGGATCAATAGACAAGCGGGATTGATTAACCCATCATCTGTGGATACCATCTCTACGGTTGTCTGGCCGCTTCCTAATCACATACTTTTATTTCCAAAAAACAAATTTTCAGTTATTCAATCTTATTTGCTAACACAAACACAATACACACAAATTAATCAACCCATGTTCAACAATGTCCTTGCAAATTTATGACACAAAATCAAAACCACACCAGCAACAAACCAACTCCCAACCCGCCAACCGAAGTTTAAATCAATTTTTCCCAACACACGGAGTCAAATCCGCCCATAAGGCCATAACTTTCATAAATCAGATCCAAACACATCTAAAATAAATCAAATCAAATAAGAATATGGTGAAGAAACAAAAGAATACCTTTTTTCTTTCACTGTTCTTTACTTGTGCTTTAACTGAGAAGTCGACAGGAGGTCTCGATCTCCGACAGAGACAGACCGCGATCCGGCGGTGACAGATGCTGAGGATCGGCGACGGCGGCGATGAATGGTGATTGCGATTGCGAATTTGCTATTTCAGGGAGGAGTAAAGAAGTTTTGGTGTTTTGCGATTTAGTTTAGGTAGTTAGGGTTAGATGGTTGGATTAAAATTAGAATTTGGGGATTCTCGGTTAAAAACAAAAAAAACCGGTTTGGTTAACTGGTTTGCAGAAAAGGCGACCCTATTTGATTTAACTTTTCCATTCTTATTCTATCATACTTTCATATCCTATAAAATAAAAAACGTATTTATTTTAATATTAACTATATAATTTAAAATTCAATCATTTTTTATTCAATTAAAAATATTTAATAATTATTTTTTAATAAAAATTTATAAATTAACAAAAAAATCCTCACTCAGGCACTCACCCAAGCAATAGTTGCTCACTAGCCACCACCGCCAATTACCAACGCCGAAACATCTATTTGTTTTTGGCTAAATCTACTATAGATTCAGTCAAAAAGGAACAAATCTACGACCAAAGATCTAGCCATTGACGGCCAAATCTGGCTGTCAACTATCGATACACTATTTCAGTGACATATGGCCACCGTTCGGTGGTCGTGAGTCATTCCGGTGACTCCCGACCACTGTTCGATAATGGTTGTTGGCTGTCGACAATTAGTTGGATAGATATGGGTATTTTTGTTAATTTATAACCTTTTTATTTGGGGGGTATTAGCTAAATTAATAAATATAGAGAGTAAAAATAATATAAATGTTTTCATAAAATGCTTTCAAAAAATATACCAAATACATTCTCATAATTATATTCTATAATAGAATATTATTAAAAAAGTGTACCAAATGAACCCTAAACCGATAACCAAACTGGTTATTCGGTTAAGCCATTTCTCCTAACCAACACCAAACCGGTTTTGAAAAAAACTAGTTTTTTGGTTTGGTTTTTGGTTTTTTTTGGCCTACCCAACATAATCTGTTTGGCCGAATTTTTTTATGCAGGGAACTGAATAAGAGGCTGTATTAATTATTAAACGTCAGAAAATTGTCTCCAACTCCTCCGTGGATTTATGACATATTGTATTATTTCAAAACATTTTATACAAATTTTTTTTTTTTTTTCAGAAATCAATTTCATTCAAATAATAATTTCAATATCTTAGTTATTTAAAATAAATATTGCAAAAAGTGAAAAGTGAACAAAATGCCTGCCAGATTTATAGGCTTCGTTTGGTTGGATTTTGGGAATACTACTTTTAGTATTCCCAAAAAAGTTAAACAGTAAATACTCAAAACCTCACAATATTATTCAACTTTATTCAACATTTTTTAAACCCGTTAAATTTGTTAATTCAATTAAATACCCCTAAATATTTTTAATGTTTTTGTTACGGCGACTCCGGCCACCCTCCAGCGGTGGTAGCCGGCTCTCCGTATTTGAGGGTGGATTGGGGGTGTTTTTGTTAACTTTTAATGTTTTATTATAAGGGGTGTTTTGTAAAAAAACAAACATAAAGGGTATTTTATTAATTTGTAAATCCTACATCGTAATACCCGCCTAATTCAACTTTTTTCAAAAAAAAATTCTTAAAAACACAAAATTGTGAACCAAACGGAGCCATATTCTTTTAATATTCAAAAATTTTTATTGTTATTTTTAAAATATTTTAACAATATAGAGGATTATTGAGGCTTGGTTTATTTACACAAAAATAGTAAAGGTACAAATAAATTTTGCGAAAATTTAAGTACAAACTAATGTAAGAGAAAATGAATGAAATTTTTTGTATTCACTCTTTCATTTATTTTCTGTTATATCAATTTTTACATAAACCTTTTGTAAGATTTATTTATACCACTATTATTATTTTTATTTATAATCTCGACTCTTTATTTTCATTTTTGGGCTTTGAAATTTCACACAAACTGCATTTTTATTTTAATAGAAATTATATATTTTCTTTCCTTTCATATATTCTTGTATTTCTCTTTCTCTTATTTAATATAAAACCTTTCATTTCAAATCAAGACTTTGAACACAAGAATTGTAAATGAAAATTAACCTCTTAAATTAGAATTACAAACAAATATTAACCTCTTACATATTTAAGATAATCTCTTCGAAACGAACAAAATAAGTGGTAATTTGAAGAAGTTTTACCAATTGCATAAGTGATAAATTTCTATTTTTTATCAATAATGCTAGATCTACAATCTTCTCCCACAAATCTCGATGTGGCAACTCGTCATTATTTAGTTATCAAATGAACAAACGGGACCCATTTTGTGAATAACAATGACGAGTTGTCATTCGGGGGTTGTGAGATTGGATTGTGGACCTAGCATTACCATTTTTTATTATATTCTTTGTGTTTTTTAGACAAACATACCGAACACATTTTCATTTGTTTATTCCAATCATTTCCAATGTTTTCAAAAAAAATAAAAATAAAAACTGGATACATAAAAATTCATAAAATGGCACACCCTGAGTTTTTAATCTAACTAGATGGAAGGCCTGTGCGTTACACATGTATGTTTAGTGATTGTTTTTTAAACGGTTTGTAAATAGCTTTATTGTAAAGTTTTAGTGGTATGCAAATGCCCATGTTTGTGGGTTATTGGTCTGGCCTATCTGGTTTGTAGAAACTGTTCACATTCAATATTTTGTAGAAATCTTTCACATTCACATTAAATGCTGAAATTGTTATTTGTTTATTTATTGTTTAATTTGATAAATAATGATAATTCATATGCATTCAATGTTTTGTAAAAACCTTTGACATTCATATTCAAATTAAATGTTTTTTTTGGTTATATTGTTTATTCCCATAAATATTAAACAATAATACTTCACATGTATTCAATGTTTTGTAGAAACCCTTGACATTCACATTCACAGTATCGTTTTGATGGTTGTATTGCTTTTGTCTATCTGAACGTGAGCGCATTTATATTATTTGTGAAAGGTTATACATGGATGAAATGAATTGAAATATTAACTCATGCCAAACGAGTTTTGGTACCCTAATTCCGGGGGCCACTTTAACCATTCATTGCACTTGTCCTGTTTGCATTGCTATGGATTAAACTGTGAAAAATTTCTTGTTAAAGAAGATTTCTCTCTTATATTCATGATGTGGAACTTGAAATTGGAACCACACATCAAAAGTTATTCCCATCAGAAAAAAGTCATAAAGGGAATTCATGGTAATAAAGTTGGAATCCCATGTCCAAAGTATTGTAGAGGACTGCCATTTCAAAAGCTCCCATGAAAAGATTGTTCACAGCTCTTTAATTTTATCTTTTAACTTCAAGGTCAGATATTTTCCATTCATAAAATCAATCCATATCACAAATCCCTTTCTATTAAAAAAATGGCTACTTTTGTTAGTTTGAAGATTGTTGGAAAGACAATGATGGCAATCTACAGCCATGGATAAGGATGTCTTTTAGCAAAGTGAACTAAAGTCTTAACTCACAAGAAAGATATAGTGAACGTGTCAAGAACAAAATTTTTTGAATTAGTAATCACCCGTTAACGTATCAACAAAAGATAAACATTCAGCCTTAGGAGAATAATAAAAAAAAAAAAAAAAAAAAGCAGAAGCAAACTACAATCTACGCATCATATGTGCAAAGGTTCTCAAATCCCATGTAGTCATGCGCTTCAATCTTCTCGATCATGTTTGATATGCCAACCCCACCTATCAACAAAAGAAAACATCAATTTCAAACTTTGTCCAAGTAAAACGATATTTGAATGAAAATGATATTATCAAGCCAGGCAACAGGGAAATCAGCACCAACCTAAAGATATTGACTAACAAATATTGTAAAGGCTAAAATGACGATGATAAGCAATGCCCTTTTCAATAAAATAATCAATTTTCTCACAATATGCACCCAATTAAAGCAGCAACGGTAGCAACAACAGCAAAGTAAAGAGCTGCCAAAGAAAGTAAAAAATCAATTGAAATTAGATAAACCATAGATCCAACATCTAGATGCAAATTACATTGCGCGTTTATTTGGAAATGTGTTTTTCTGATGTTTAGAAATTACAGAAGTACAAATAATTGTACAATAAGGGACAGGAAAATGTTTCAGAAGGTAATATTGTACAATTGACATGGATGAGGAGAAGACCATAGTAAAGGTAGCAATCGCACTAGATACCTACATAGAAGTCATCAAGAAGATTAAAACTAACAATAGTTAGCAATGCTTTGACTCAAAAAAGGACAAACATGAATCTATACATATAAATAAAGATTTCTTGAGACCTTTAGGATGCCACTATTTAATTGTTATTAATATTTAGGGATTAACATGAATCTATATATCTTTTAATTAGATCTTTGGATGCCCAATACGTGAGAGACATTTGGAATGTCAATGCAATACACCTATATAATTCTTATTAATACACATCCAACACTTCTATTCAGAGAAATGCAGTAAATTGAACTAAAAAGCACCACAGAAAAAACAATGCAGCATTATCCAACGATTGAGAAAATAAAATGTGTAAGCCTAAAAACTGAAACTGAAATCTATATGGAAACCCAACAAATATTAAATAAATAAAAACCAACATCTAACTCTTCAAAAAAATTAATATTAACCACAATTGCTTGGTTACCCAGAAAACGCAAGAAAACAAACGAAAATTAACATAAGCATCATAAACTCTTCATTTTTCGAACCTAGTGGAACAAAAACACAATTTTCCATTATTTTGGACCTAATAACACAAAACCCCCCACTCAATTGACAACAAATCACACTTCAGCTCAGATAATATCAGTTTCCATCAAAACAGGCAAAACACGCAGACAAACACTTATTTTCTCCCCATTGCTACATTTTCTCAGCAACCAATCAGTGACAAATGTACTCAAGAAACAAAACTTCACCAGCATTAAAAGTAACGCCATTTCCAAATCCAACGAAAGAAAACACATCTTTTTAAAACAAACAATCAATGAATCAAAAGTTTAAAAATCAAACTATTTTCAAAGAAAGAAAAAAAGCACCAGAAATGGCCATGGTGAATCCACAACCACCACCGCAGACGTCCTTCCACGCGGATCCCATAGTCGACGGTAGCCTCACAACCACCGACAACCTTTGCAGCAACGCTCCCGACAAGTAACCCCACATAAACACCAATTTCTGCTTAT